ACTCCCACCCTGTCACATGACCACCAAGCCACACCCACAAATTAGGCCACGCCCATGGAAGTGATTGTTAAGAAATTTGAAACCCACCCCAGCAGACATGGCCAGCCTGCAGCTGCTTCTCACAGGCCAAACAGAGAAGAATTCTTCCTGGAAACTCTGACTTACCATTCTAAGCTTTCCTAGTGGTGTACCATGCAGGGTCTGCCCAAGTCTGACCCTCCTTAGCCAGCTTGGGGGGGGAAGGGTATAGCTGAGGTACCGGGGAGGGGGTAGCAGGCAGCATGATTGCGGTGCTGGGGGAATAAGTCTGTTATTCTAGTATACTCTCCGTCCCATGTAGAGGTAGCCTTGTGGAGAGATTTTAGCACCTTTTTCACTCCACCTTTTCCCAACTCTCACCCTTTAATTCAGTTCCCATGCCAATTCCACCACACACACCCCTCAGCCCTGTCCAGGTTCCCTTCTTCTTGCACCCTGTAAGAAACAGGCAACATTATATATGTCTGCTAAAACATTCTATTTTTTTTGCCTGCCCCATTTAATCTTGTCACCCTTCCTCTCAGAAAATTCCCACAGTAAATTGCCACCGAGGAGGGTCATTCTTTTGCAGAGGGAATTCCATCTCCCTGAGTGGGGACACCAATCCCACCAATTGACTTCTGCCTTCCTTCTTCTAGAGAAGCTGGTTTTCTAGCTGTGGAGAGATGTTGCTTGGGGAGGCAGCCTCCTAAAATGCAATTTTGTCTCCTCCTCAGGTGCTCGAGACAAAGTGGTCGTCTATAAATATGAGCAGTCCTCAGCTGTCAGCCACAATTGGGACTAAGGTTTCCACGGCTAGGCAAGGTGGTTGTTCAGTGAGTTGTACCCAGTAACCTTTTCTGACGTGGTTAAGTGAATCAATGCAGTTAAGTGACTCATAGGTTATTAGTTGTTAAATGAGGTGTGCCGGGTTTTACGACTTTTTTTTACTATGGTTGTTAAGAGAACCAAAATTGATTATTGGCAAGAAGCCAGTTTCAGCTGCCACCCACTGTTCCCCCTACACCTCTGCTATCCTATCACCGCCACTCCTCCCCCAGCTAGCTACCCTCCCAAAGTTAAGGAGGATCAGACTTGGGCAGACCCTGGAGGGAGCACAACTAGAAAAGCCTGGAAAAGTAACTCAAAGATATCCAGGAAAAATCCATCTCTCTCTTGCCCGTGAGCAGTAGTAGCAGGCTGGCCTTGTCTGATGTTCCCAGAGTACTTGGATGGGAGACCACCAGGTGACTGGATGGGAGACCACCAGGACTGTAGGCATGGCACGTATTTATGACAGTTGCAGTGTCCCTGAGTTGTGTGATCCCCTTTTGCAACCTTCTGACAAGCAAAGTCTGTGGGGAAGCCAGATTCACTTAACTTCTGTGTTATTAACAACTGCAGTGATTCACTTAACAACTTTGGCAAGAAAGGTTGTAAAATGGAGCAAAATTCACAACAGATGTTTCACTTCACAACAGAAATTTTGGGCTTATTATCATAAGTTGAGTACTACCTGTATTGGATGGGAGTAGTTGGTTTTGTTCCATCTGAATTTGTTATACATTTTATAATTAACAGGCTTGAGGTATATTTTGATCTGCAATATTTGATGTTAGCCAATTTTGGCACAATTTATTATAGAAAAATGGCAGAGAAATACCGTCAACTAAATAAATATTCAGCATATTGAGCTCAAAGTGAAAAACTTACTGATGAAATCTGTCCAAATAAACTACTCCTCAAAAAAAAACCGTGCCCAAATGTTTATAGGCAATCAAAGCATTCAAAAGTAGATTCTCCTTCATTTAGAGTGTTGGAAGTTGTCCAAATGCGAGTTCCACCAGACCCGGTTGGACTACTTAGGATATAGTGTGTCGAACACCGGGGTGGAGTTCAATCCGGCAAAGGTGCAAGCGATTATGGACTGCAGGCACCTAAAACTTGTAAGCAATTGTGAAGTTTCCTAGGATTCACAAACTTTTACCAGCAGTTCATCCCTTCGTTTGCACAGGTCGCCCTACCATTAACCGACCTTCTTAAGGCACAACGGGGAAAATTAGACCCAATCAACCACTACAATGGACAATGGAATGTCAAAGAGCTTTTGAAACATTAAAGGTGCTGTTTGTTAAGGAGCTCATCTTAAAACATCCAGATCCAGAGCAAGCATTTGTGGTACAAGCTGATGCCAGTGATATGGCTGTGGGAGCTGTCCTTATCCAAACCAATGAACAGGGTAACCTGCAATCGTGCGCCGATACATCACAACACCGAAAGGCAGTAGGCAATTTGGGAAAAGGAAGTCTACACGGTCTAGTGGGTACTGATGACATGGCAGCATCTGCTGGAGGGGAGTCCTGTACCCTTTAAAGCAGGGATCCCCAACCTTTTCGACGCCGCGGCCCGGTTCCGACATCAGCTGGGCGCCGCGGCCCGGTACCGGCGTCAACTGGGCGCCGCCATCTTTTTATGACGAAAAGGCGCTTCCGGTGAGCTTTCTACCCGGAAAAGCTCACCAGAAGCGCTTTTTTACCAAAAAAAAGATGGCGGCGCCCAGCAACCAGCGGCCCGGTAAGGCTTGTTCCGCGGCCCGGTACCGGTCCGCGGACCGGCGGTTGGGGACCCCTGCTTTAAAGTGTAGACAGATCACAAGAACCTTGAAGCCCTCCAAACTCTGTGCAAGTTGTCTCCCAAACAAGTTAGGTAGGTGCAGTATTTTAAACGCTTCCACTTCACCCTGAAGTATATTCTTGGGAGGAGGAATTTTCTGGCAGATGCCCTATCGAGGATGCTGCAATACAATAATAGACGGGGAGATGTGGTTTACACCATTATACCTCCTCCGCAACCCACAGCTCAAGCCACAAACTGAGGGCAAGCGATGCAACAGCCGGAAGAGGGATGGGATGGGATGAGATGACCCGCTCCTTGAAGATGGCTCTGCCAACCGACCCATGGTTTCAGGAGAACCAGTAAATGTTAACCCAGAAAGATGGCCTGGTTTGGAAGGGGAGCAAATTATATGTCCCTCACAGCCAACGAATGGCTGTGCTGCAGCAGTGCCATGATGCAAAGTCAGCTGGTCACTTCATGTTCCTGAAAACCCTACATCGGGTCAACCGACAATTTTGTGGCCAAAATTGAAAAAAGACCTAGAGGACTATGTCCAGAGCTGTACGATCTGTGCAACGATGAAAAAATGACTAGGGAAACCACCGGGCCTCCTGAAACCTGTGGCTCATCCCACTCAACTGTGGGAAGAAATAGCTATGGATTCCATCATGAAACTCCCTGAAAATAATGGGAATACCATTATCTGGACGATTATTGACCTATTCTCAAAGCAAGCCCACTTCATGGCTTGTCTGAGCCTCCTGTCAGCACATAAGCTGGCAAAGATGTTCCTCAACCACATCTACCACCACCACAGCATCTGACAGAGAATAATCTCAGACCTTGGAGTGCAATTCACAGCCAAATTCTGGTGGGAGTTCCTTAGAATGATTTGGTCCTCTCAAGGCCTGAGTTCCACATTTCATCCAACTACCAATGGAGCGGCAGAAAGAGCCAATGCCATGATTAAGCAATACATCAGATGCTACATAAACTACTAACAGACCGATTGGGCTGACCTCCTACCATTCACAGAAATAGCATACAACAGCAGCACACGGTTCACTCCCTTCAAAGTGGCCAATGGGATAGAGTTTGTCCCCATTCCCAAGTACCCTCAGGAGTCCCCCTCATCTGTTAGCCTGACTGAGTGGATGGACAATATGCGAAGGGTATGGGAGGTGAGAGTAGGATTAAGGAAGGCGGCAGAAACCCAAAAGGTCCAGGCCAACAAGAAGCGGAGCCCCCAGACCCCATTCAGGGTTGGTGAGATGGTGTACCTCTCCACCAAATACCTACATCTAAAGGTGTCTGGCTGTAAACTAGCCTCTAAATTCCTGGGTTCATTTCCCATAGTCCGCATAATCAACCCAGTCACAGTGGAACTGAAATTCCCTCATCTATTAGGGAGAATACACCCGGTATTCCACAGTAGTCTGTTGAGACATGTACAGGCCTCGGACGTATGAGGTCCCCCAAAGCATGAACCCGGGAGCATTCAAGTGGGGGGAAAGCTCACTACAAGGTTGAGCAGATCCTAAATTCTCGCATTCATGGGGGGGGGGCCTACAATACTTGGTACAATGGAAGGGGTATCCCCATCAGAAGCATCTTGAGTGAGGAGTCGGGAGGTGAAGGCTGCACAGATGGTGAGACAGTTCCTCCGGGAGCACTCTTGAAAACTGGGTGGAAGTGATTGCGTGGGACCCCGCTCAACAGGCAATTAACTGTGGTCTTTGCTTATCTTCCAGATGCCATTTCCATGGTACAGGGGAGCCACCTGTCAACGCTTGAAATGCCAAGCCTCCAGTGGACGGGGAAGGCTTACAGGAATAATGAAAAACAGTAGACTCACGGTGTGGGAGATGGACAATGAAGAAGCAGCCGGCTGACAATCTGCTGTAGAGCAGGCCAGCAGCAGAAGTAAGAACTAGGCCCAACAGAAAGATTCCAGGCCTCTCAAGAAGTACAACAGTCATGCGGGTGAGGCAGGTGCACGCAGGGGGCAGGATTAAATAGGCAGGAAAGCAGCAAGTTATTGCTGTCTGTGTTTTGGTTGCTATGTGCTGATGTTTCCAGCTCTGGCAGAATTACAAGCAATTAATCAAATCTTTTATTTCTGTTTCTTGGTTTTAGAGAATTGGAACAGTGACACTGTACATACATCCCATAATATCACAACTAAGCTATTGAGTCCATAAAGTTTGCCAAGCACAAGTAGTTAGCAGTATATAGTTTTTATCTAATAACAGAAGATTTTCAGGTATTCAACCACAAATTTATTTTAATATTTTTCTATAAATACTACAAAACATTTATTTTTATTTTATTGATATTTGCAAATTGAAGAAAAGTAGTGATATTACCTTATCTGTAAGAAGTTTAGTAAGATTTCTCTGTTTCCTGAAGAGATACTGATCAAATAACTGAGCCAGTTTTGCTGCCAGAATATGTTCACGGCTAAAGCAAGGATGATGTGTGAATATTAATCCTGAAATGTCAATATCCAACTGAAAGCAACTTTGTGGATCATCATTTCCAACAATGTACTGGTTGGCAAGTCTCATCTTTAGAGCCTAAAATAAAAATTTAAGCAACAACATTCACACAGAGGTAGAATAAGATTTCAGAGAAACATATAAGAACTGGATCACACATAATAAACTAATTTGGAGGCTTTTCTTTTCAGTGCAAGGTATGAGTCTTTGGTTTGTTTTACATATAACTGAGATTAACTGTACCAAAGACTAATAAACTACGAATAAATATCACTTAATGTCTAAGGATAAGTTAAATTGAATGTGGAATTGACATTCATCAATTCACCTTTATTCAAAAAGGTGGTGGCCTTTCAAGGTAGAAACAAGGTCACAGACAAATGTCAAAGTAAGGCTCTTTGCCCAATATTTACTATTCTAGGCCCTGTCCAATCTTAGTACCCATTCTGAGACCATTTCCACTAAAAAGGAAGCCTTTTGCATTGGCCTTTCATGGAAGACCATGGAATTAAGCCAGAAAGACAACCTTGACTGCAGAATCAAGTGCATGTTAGGCTTCTGTTTAATAAAATGTCCGGTCTCAACTGGACAAGCTGGTATGTCTCATCTGGCAAATGGGGTTACAGAGTAGTACAGAATAACAGAGTTATGGAATGGAACTTGGAGGTTGTTAGGGATAACATTGTTTTACCCTAACTGTTTTGGGTAAAGATAATAAAATGATGAATCATGGTTTGTCACATAAAGTGTATGTGACTTTAAGCTAAAGGAATGTAATTAAGGGTGCAGCTGTAAAAGTACTATATAAGCAGCAAGGCACTCTCTGGCTCTTACTGGCTGGCTTATTGAAGACTGCATTCTTGCTGGATCGGGGAGGAGAAGAAGTGTTGGATTACTTTGAAGATATTTCTCAACGGAGAGAAGATAAGTTTTGGACAGATTTATTATATGTGTACTGACACTGGCTATTCGACACGGACTTTGCAATTAGAGTATCCGCGACAAGACTTGACTGAAATTGATATATGACTAATGGACTGTTTATAATGACTATGCTATAATTCTTAAATGGAATAAACTATAATTTTGATAGCACAAGCGTATCTGTATTTTTACTGCGTGTTAACGAGAAAACTTATCTCACACATTTACCTGTCTTCCTATCTGACTTCGCTGCACATTCTGTTTAGTTTGTTTTCCTTAACACC